AACCATACTGTATGGGCTGACATCTGCATGGTACCTGTAATGCTTCATCATTCTGTGTCTGCAAGGGATTGTGGCTGCCATCAGGCAGTCAGGGCTGCAGTCATCCATCGAAGAGCCAACTGGGAAGTCGGAGCTGATTTCCATAAAGCCGTTTTGGCCATGATTATGCACTCACATGAATGCTTCCTTCTATAAACCTAAGGATAGGTAATAAATAACAGCAACAATAATGAATTCTTGACATTTATGTAGTGCTTTACAGAAACGATTTCATCTGATTCTTTCCAACAACGCTATGAGGCAAGTAATATGATTATTCTTACCCTCGTTTTGATGAAGAAACTGAAACTTAGGATGAAGTTCTTGGCCAAGGACACACAGCTTATTAGTGAAAGTACCAGGAGTAGAGTCCAGGTTGTCTGACTCTGGATATAAATATAAAGGATTATGATAGCGTAATATGATATTATAATATTATGGGGCTGCTAGGTGGTTCAGTGGAGAGAGTGTCAGGCCTGAAGTCAGGAAGACTTATCTTTCTGAGGTGAAATCTAGCCTCAAACATTTACTAGCTATGTGACCCTGGGCAAGTCACTTAACCCTGTTTGCCTCAGTTTCTTCATCTGTCAAGTGAGCTGGAGAGGAACATCCCAAATGAGGTCATCAAGAGTTGAACACAACTGAAACAACTGAACAACAATAAAGTCATTGCACTTCTCCATTTGCTTTGTAACCCCATCCCTTATTATTTGTCCCCACTGTGATTCCTAATCCCTCCACTCTTCGGTTCTTTCCCATTCCATCATCCCATCACTGTCTGTAGTCTCACGTTTTCCTCGTCTTGACCTCTTGGTGAACCACTGTCCTCTTGAGTCCCTTGCCCCCATTCTATAACTAATCTTGTCCTGCCAAGTCTCAGCCTTAGATTACTTCTGCCACCCCCTGCATGAATCCTACTTGTGTCCTGCTCCATGATAATGGGGAAAAAAAATCACAAAACCATGTTGATTGGGTCCACTACAAATTTATGTTACACATAATCTCAACTGGGCCCTCATTGTAGCAAGGCAATCCTTTTTATACCTTCCTAATTAACTTACTATCCCATTTGCCACAGTTGATCTTTCAAAGCTTTTCATTCCTTCTTAAACCTGCTATTGCCCTCTTTCCTCCTATCTTCTAAGTTCAGAATCTTGTTTCATACTTTGCTGAAAAAAAAATTGAGGCCGTTGACTGTTTCCTCTTCTCCCCTGTTTCCCATCTCGTATCATCCAGATACCTTCTGGGTAATCTCATCCTCACCCTTGTCTCACACGATGAGGTGGTATTTCTCCAGGTTAACTAGGAAAATCCCTCTACATGACAAGTGATCCCATTCCATCCCATTCTCCAGCAAAATGCTCTCTCTATCATCCCCACTCTCTTACTTATCTTCAATCCCTCCCTGCCTACTGGCTGCTTCCTTAATGCCAACGACCAGATCTCCCCCATTGTCAAAAATTCTCCCTGATCTGTCCATCTCCACCATCACCCTGTATCTCATCTCCCTTTGATCTTACTAAACAAACCCCACACCCATGCAACAAACTACAGTGGTTTCCTATTATCTCCAGAATCAAATATAAAATTCTCTGTTTCTCATTCAAAGCCCTCCACAACCTGGTTCTTCTCTACCTTTGCAATCTTCTTACACCTTTCTCCTCCCAGAGATCCAGTGACACTGGCACCATTTCCTTCCTATAAGATACTCTTTCTCCCAATTATTGGCATTTTCTTAGACTCTCATTTCCAGAATGTTCTCCCTTCTCATCTCCACTTCCTGGCTTCCCTGGTGTCCTTCAAGTTCTAGTGAAAATCCTACCTTCTACAAAAATCCTTCCCTAATACCTTTTAACGTCAGTGACTTCCTTCAGTTGAATATCTCCAATTTATCCTGTATATATCATGCTTGTACATAAGTATTTTCATGTTTTCTCCTTGGTTACACTGTGACTTCTTGAGAGAAAGGACTGATTTTTACTTTTTTTGTGTATCAACACTTAACACAGTGCCAGGCACATGGTAGATATTTAATAAATGTTTATTGATTGAGTAGGTCAATATGAAACATTTCCTGATGAGGCAGGATTGGGGTTAGAAAATTATCTCATTCTGCAAATGCGATGAAATGTAGTCATAACATTGATTTTTTTAAAAAAAACAAATTTCCTGAGAAGCTACTGAGTAGCATTGCAAACAGAAGGTAAAAATGTGGCTCAAAGTGAGGAAGGCGGGCTGAAATAGATGCCCTCTCAGGACCCACACTAGCAGAACTGGCCTTGCTCACAGATGATGTCAGTGGCCACTGGCCCAGTGTGAATTCAGGGACACTTAGAAGCTTTTCTGCCCCATGTATCACCTGCTGTCTTGAGACCTGAAATAACTTTTTGTTTCCTCTGGGGGACACAATCTTTCATACTGTCTTTAGAGCTTAAGATGGGACGTGCAAATACCCCTGCTAGAAGCTATACAGTAACTTAAATTCACACTAAGATTCAAATGAATGAGATAAAATGCTTCCTCAGAAAGCAGGATTTGTCTATTTGCTTTTGTTTTTGCTTTTTACTTGGAAGAGGGCCTTGAAGGCATATGAAAAGAATGAGGATAGTGGAGAATGGACCAGAGTAAGGAGACAGGAGCCCCAGGAGTCCAGTCTTGTTGACCTCAAGAGCTTCTTCTGGCTACTCAAGCGGGTCTGCTCTCCTCTTGCAGAAGAATCTAGGACGAAACACAAGACGGTAGAGGGAGACACTGCCCGTGCACCACCTGAGTCCAGCCTAACCTCCTCACCTTGTTATGTAGTATACCTCTTTACACACTCTGTGATCCAGACAAACTAGCCTTCTTACCGGCCTCACACAAGACACTCTGCCTCCTTTGCACAGACTGTCACCCATGCCAAGAATGCATTTTCTTTTTACCTTTGCCTCTATTAGCTCAAGTGTTACCATCTGTAGGAAGGAAGGAAAGAAGGAAGGAAGGAAGGAAGGAAGGAAGGAAAGAAGGAAGGAAGGAAGGAAGGAAGGAAGGAAAGAAGGAAGAAAACAAGCAGTTATTCAGTTCCTATTCTGCGCCAGGCACTGTGCTAAGTGCTTTGCAAATATAATTTCATTTGATCCTTACAACAACTCTGAGAGATAGATGCTATTATTATCCCCATTTTACAGTTGAGGAAACTAAGGTAGACAGAGCTTAAGTGATTTGCTCAAGTCATACACCTAGTAAATGTCTGAGGTCAGATTTGAACTTAGGTCTTTCTGATTCCAGGAGGCCTTCACTCTGGTCTCCCACAGTTGCTAGTGCCTTCTCCTTAAAAATTATCTGTATTATTCATGATGAAAAATGCCACCCATCTCCAAAGAGAGAACTGATAAACTCTGAGTACAGAATAAAACAGATTTTTTCACCTTCTTTATTTTCCTTGCCTTTTTTTCTTTTTTTCTTTTGCAACATGGTTAATGTGAAAATAGGTTTTATATGAATTCATATGAATACTGGGTATCATATTCTTGCCTTTTTAATCAGTAGGAGAGGGGGTAGAAAGAGGGAGAGAGTTTAGAACTGAAAAGAAAATACAAAAAGAAATAAGAAAACTACCTTTATTATTTATATTTACATAGGCCTATGTGGTCACCACTGTTCAAATGTGAGCTCTTTGAGGACAGGGACTATTTCAATTTTGTCTTTGTATCTATCACCAATGCGTGGCACATGGCAGGCACTTAATAAATGCTCATTGATTGATTGATTGATATAGTGGTGTATTAGATCAAGGGATGGACTTAGAGTGAGTTCAGGCCTATTTCAGATGCTTACTAGCTGTGTGGCCCTGGGCAAGTCACTTAACCCCTCTCAGCCTCAATTTCCTCAGCTATAAAATGGGGCTGATAATAAATAGGTCATTGTGAGGACCAAATGAGATAATAAATATGAAGTACTTTGCAAATCTTAATGCGTTATATAAACAATAGCATGATTAACTGCTATGGAAAGAACATTTGGTATAGTGTCAGAACACCAGAGACTCAAATCCCAGCTCTCCAACTCATTCCCTGTGAGATTGTGGGCAAATCACTTAATTGCCCTGGGACTCAGTTTACTGATCTATAAGATGAGATGATTGGACTATCATGGGTGAGGAACCTGCGTCCTCGAGGCCACATGTGGCCTTCTAGGTCCTCAAGTGTGGCCCTTTCACTGAATCCAAACTTCACAGAACAAATCCCCTGAATAAAAGGATTTGTTCTGTAAAACTTAAATTCAGTCAAAAGGCTGCACCCAAGGACCTAGAAGGCCACATGTGACCTTGAGGATGCAGGTTCCCCACCCCTGGTAGATGACCTCTAGGTCCCTTCTTGCCCCAGATCCTATGATCCTGTAAACTAATGATTGAATTAGAAAACCTGGGGTTGAATCCCTGCTCTTGTCACTTACTACAGAGCGATGGTGGGCAAAAAAAAAGGTCACTTTGCCCCTCTGAGCCTTTGATAGCACTTATCCTTTACAGGGGAGTTGGGAAAAAGATGCTTTGTAAACTCCTAAAGTGGGGGCTCTTAACCTTTTCTTGTCAAGGATCCTTTTTGACAGTTTGATGAAACCTACAGACATCTCAGAATAATGTTTTTTTTTTCAGAATAATGTTTTTAAATGCGTAAAACAAAATGCAGAGGAATATACAAAAGAAGCCAACTATATTGAAATAAAGTTATCAAAAAATTTTTAAAAAGGAAGTTCACAGCCCCAAGTTAAGAGTCCTGTGCTATAAGTTGTTAGTTGTATAAATGAAAGCTATTATTTCCAAATGAGACAGAGGATGTGAAAGTAGTCTCTATAGTAAACTGTAAGGGAAACACATGGAAGGGAAAAACCCCAGAGATTTCCATTTACGTGAGAAAGTTCTATTCAGCCGGGCAGTGCCAATTTGGTTACTAATGAGGACTGATTTGATTTCCTTGCTACAGATTGCCTTTTCCTCCTGGTGACCGGGTGACCTTTAATGGGAAGGAGTGTATCTGCCAAAAGTGTTCCCTGCCCCCCACTACCAGCGGGAGCTCCTACCTCCTCCAAGGACTCCGGAGTAAGTATGCATGTAGGAAGAAGACCCTGCCAAGCCACCAGGCTTCCAAGGCAGTTTCTGAATTATTACTGCCACTAAAGTTCCCTTCCAAGACTTTCTCAGGGCTGGGCCTAGATTCTCAAAGGCAGGGCAGCTCAGTCCATCCTCTACTCTTCTGTCAAATACATCTTAAAGTGTGTGTTTAACAACTTAAACTCCAAAGAATCCCCATTGCCTCCAGAATCCAATGTAAAATCCTCTATGTGGCTTTTAAAGCCCTTTATAAACTGACCCCTTGCTCCTCTTCCAATTTTCTTACCCCTTACTTCTCTCCATATACTCCTGGATCCTGTGATGGTGCCTACCCTACTTTTCCTCCCACAAGACAGTGCATCACTTGTTGTCCCCCATGCCTGGAACTCCCTGCTCACCTCTTACTCTGGCTTCCTTCAAGTCTCAGCTAAAGTCAGACTTTCTACCAGTAACCTTTCTCAGTTTTCCTTCATCTAAGTTAGCCTTCCCTCTGAAAGCATCTCCAATTTATTCAGTCAAAGGGCCACCCTTGAGGACCTAGAGGGCCACAAGTTCCCCACTTCTACACCAGCCCCTCCCCCAACACTGTGAATTCCTTGAGATCAGAAACTGTTATTTTTTGCCTTTCTTTTATCCCTCTCACTTGGCACAGTGCCTGGGACATAGTAGGTGCTTAGTACTTGCTCATCAACTTCCTTGTTCATAGACTAACTGTGTAACTTATTTAGGGCCAATCTAACCAATTACAGAAGAGCTCATCACCAAAAGGCTATCTGCCCCACCCTACCCCCACAGAACATGGCAGCCAGGTGACACAGTGGATAGAGCAGTAGACCTAGAGTCAGGAAGGCTCTAGTCCAAATGCAGCCTCTGAGACTTAAGAGCTGTATGAATCTGGGCAAGTCACTTAACTTTTGTCTGCCTCAGTTTCCTCAATGAGAATGGGAAAATAGGAAAATGAAAATGGTAATGGCACCTACCTCCCAGTGTTATTGTGAGGATAAAATGAGATAATATTTGTAAAGTGCTTTGCAAACCTTTATAAACCCTGATGCACTGTACTGTATAGAAGTTAGCTATTACTATAGCTTGTGTTGGCCACAGCAGCTCATGAAAGATGCTCTATTAAGGTGGGGAGTCAGTCCCCCATACTGAAAAATGATGAAGTCCTTGTGTTGAAATATTGAAAAAGAATCCTTCAAACCTTCAAGGAGCTGCTATGTTTTACAATGGGAGTACTTCACTCTTCACCTACCCCTTCCTTCAGGTACATATCATAACCCCTCTACACCTTGTGGCCAACCCAGTGTGGAGCTTCTCTGAACCAAACAAAGGTGGTCCTTAAATGACAGACACAGAATCCATTGGGTGACTTGGTCTACAAGCCATTCTAGCATGGCAGGTCTAGCCAGAGATTACATTTCACTGGCTTAGTTTTCAAGAGCCCAGCTTCAACTCCACTCCATGATGAGTACAGGGATTTAGTGGAAGATTATAATATATTGACAAGAAAAAAAGTAACAGAGAGAAAGTATTTGGCCAGCTTCAAACCAAGATTTCTCCACTTCTCCTGAGGCAGTAGAAATGAACCTGACACTGATTCCTTTTTAAAATAGACTTTTCCCTGTAACTTTTGTTTTTTTAATGTCACATAGTTTTCCCACTGTATGCTTCCCAGAAATCCATCCCTTATAGCAAAGATTTTTTTTAAAGAAAAAGTAGAAAAACCAATCAAAATGAAACCCTGACCTCCACAAAGGAGGGTAAGATGTCTTCTCATACCCTTTCTTTGAGGCTAAGATTATTCTTTATAATTTTGTTATATTTAGTTTCAATGGTTTCATAGTTATGGTTCTTTACATTTACATTGTTGTCACTGAGTACATTTTTCTCCTGGCTTTGCTTACTTCACTTTGTATCAGTTTCTATAAATCTTTTCATGCTTCTATGTATTCTTCATGGTCTTTTCTTATATTCCTTTACATTCATGTACCGCAGTTTGTTCAGCCATTCTTAACCAATGGACATCTGCTTTATTTCCAGTTTCTCTCTCTCTCTCTCTCTCTCTCTGTCTCTCTCTCTCTCTCACACACACACACACACACACACATATACACGCATGCATACCTGCACATGCTATACATATTTTGGTATATAGAAGTCACTTTTGTGCATATCCTCTTACAGGGGGGTGGAAGGGGGTAATCTGCCTAGCAGTGGAATCCCTGGATCAACGAGTATAGACATTTTAATTACTCTGTGAATGCTTCCTTGGACAGTGCCCTGTAAAACAGCTCATTGCTGCATGTACTCAGAAGGAGACATGACTACTGATCGGCTGAGAGAATGCTGAGCATGCTGCAGCCTGGAGTCCTGAGAGCCACAGGCATGTATGGGAAGCCAACCCTGTTGTGTCTCTTGACAGATATCTATGGCTCCAGTTATACTCTGCATTCCCTTAGTCACATGTCTCTCTGCATAAAGCACGGGGCATTTCAGGACACTGACCAAGGGAGTGTTATATTTGCATAATTCCAAATTGCTTTCCAGATTGGTTGTACCAACTTATGGTTCTACTGACAATTCACTAATGTATGTGACTTTCCACAACCCCTTCACTATTGATCATATCCATCTTTTGTCATCTTTGCCAATTTTCTGGATATATTAGAGACTGGCTTTTAGTCATATATTTATGACTCTTTTTTTAGATTGTTTGAGAAGTTGGTACAAACCCACAGGTTATTTGCCTCTGAGCCATGCAGAAGGTGTATACCTATGGAGGAAAGGGTGCTGAATTTGGAATCAAAGTGCTTGGATTAATTCTTAGCTGTGCCATCTATTGCCTGTATGACCTCAGGCAGGTCATTTATCCTCTCTGACTCTCATTTTCCTCATTTCTAAAATTAGCTCCTCTAAGGCCTTTCTGTAACAAAGGAAAAACAAAGTTTATACATACACAGGCTAAAATTTAAAACTGCCCTGTTTGTATGCCTTTAAAAAATAACTGGGGTTTACAACCACAACACCAAGATTATTCCAAACAATAAGACAGGCTGGTCATGTGGAGAAGGGGCTAAGTGATGGAAAAACCATATGTTCCACTGGTATCCTCGTGATATCAAAATAAAGTTAGGTTAGACCTGCAGCATATTGGGTTGATTTCTTTGATGAGTTAATGAAAAGATATGAAAGGAAGTCACACAGAATGGACAGGAACATATTGGTTGCAATCTGAATGACTCGATGTCCAAAACAGAACTCATCTTTTCAACAAAACCCACTGTTTCTTCTGTTGAAGGCTTCACCATCCTTTCAGTCTCCCAGATTTGCAACCTCAGCACTATCCCCAACTCCTCCCCTCCCTCACCCCATGTATCCACCCAGTTGCCAATTCCTGTCATTTCTTGCTCCGCATCATCTCTTATACTTGTGCCTTTCTCACTGCTCCCATAGCCACTGCCTTGGTTTAGGCTCTTTCCTCATCTAATTGGCCTGGTTCCTGCTTGCTTCTCACACAGAGATTTCATCTCCCTCCTCCATACCTTTGAACTGATCTTGCCTCATCACTGGAATGCTATTACCCCTCACCTTTGCCTCATAAAATACTTCACTTCCTTCAAGACTCAAAGCACAACCTTCTACAGGAAACTTTCCTGCTCTCTCAACTGCCAATGCCCACCCTCCCTAAACTGCTGTGTATTAATTTTGCATTTATTATGTATTTACTTACATCATGTTGCTCCCCCAGAGAGAATGCAAACTGCTTGAAAGTAGGGATTGTTGAGAGCAGCCAGGTGGCTCAGTGGATACAGCACTGGCCCTGAAGGCAGGAGGACCTGAGTTCACAATCTGGCCTCAGACCAAACACTTGACACTCACTAGCTGTGTGACCCTGGGCAAGTCACTTAACCTCAATTGCCTAAAAATATTTAAAAAAAAAGAAAGTAGGGATTGTTTTATTTTCTTTTTATCATTAATTTCCCAGTTCCTATTTCAGTGCCCGGCACAAAATAAGTGCTTAATAAATGTTTCTTTATTGGTTGGATGCTTTCTTCCAGTCGATGGGCATAGAATGAATTGATGTGTGAAACCCAGATTTAGGGTGAGAGGACTGAAAAATTGGAGTGGGTAGAGCCTTATAGGTCTCCCTGTTAAGTTCCTGTCCTGATGTTATAAGGAATAAACCAAGACTTATGAGCTGCACACATTATTTCACTACCCACCACTGGTTTCCCTGCATGAGAAGCTGAGTCATCTGAGGCAGGCTGGATGGTCTTTTGTGATTTGGAACAGTGTAGGGGTTGGGGAGGGAGCTGCCTTCTACAAAAGCCAGCCAGGAAGCTCTTTGCTGATTATTACAGCAGATCTGTAGAACTCAATTAAGGCTCTCCCTGCTCAACATTTCTTTCCTTTTTGACCTTTCCCAGTCTCTTGAAAGCACTCAGGAGTGTGGCTCAATTTGGAGCCTGTCAACATAGTATTGTGTAAATGAGGACTTTATTGTTTCTTGAGGCCAATTTGGTTTTTAATATATATTAAATAGAGGAAGTGTGGTTTTGTGGGCATACAGTTCCCTTATAACTACCATTTTCTTCTAAAAGAAGCCCTCTCACCACAGCTACCAGCTACCACAGTTTGGTGAGAGAAAGCAGGAGGGGAAATCAGAAATCCAAACTATGTGGCTGGCTGGTAAAAGAGAAATAGACATCGTCCCTTAGAACCACAGATTTATTTCTCATTTTCTGGAAAGGAACATTACATCCAAAGCTGATAGAGGCAGAGGATCTTAGATTTAGTGCTGGAAGGGACATTATATGCCATCTTGTTCCATCCTCTCTATTTACAGATAAGAGCATACTTTTCATCCCAGTCCATACCCCGTTGCTTCACTGAACACTCTATCCCATTATACTTTATCAGCACAATGGCCAGCTTCCACTTACTACCAAACTACTCATGAACCTTCCTACTCTTGGGCACCCATC